GAAACGGGCTCTGTCCCGTGTTGCTAAATCTATATAAGACTAGCGTACAAAAGATATCGCTGAGGAAGGAAGAAAGGAAAAGTGGAAGATTGGGTGAAAGCAAGTCGTTATAACAATCATCGGGCACCAATCGGGCTTCGCGGTTGGAGTCAAGTTGTGGCGCGATAGCCGCAACATGCGCCTATCGGGCATCGCCCGTTACATAGATAGAGTTTTTACCTCTAGCTTAGCCCTTAAGTTTCTAGGGGTCTTAATAATACCTACCTAGATAATCTAGCTAGTAGTAGTAGAAGTCCTAGTTATTAGATTACTTTATAGATAAAGAGGAATATAGTCACCCCTATTATTCTTAGTATAGTTAGAGATAGCTATATAATAGAGGATTCTACTATAAATATTAATAGTAAGGGCCCTGTACTCTAGCTACTTATAGAAGGCTATAAACTTATTAATTATCTCTATAAAGGAGAGGAAGACCTCCTACTTAGCCTAGGCCTATTATTTATCCTTCGTAAGCTAGGAGTAGATGGCTATAGTTATAGTAGGCATACTAGTATCTTATTTAAGAATAAGAGGTAATATATAACCTTAATAGTTCTTAATTCTCTTTATAGTATATAGATTAGAGGGGAATTCTAGGTCCTAGGGCTGCATAAAGTTAGTACTAGCATGGGTGCTTAATAAGTAAGATGGGGTAGAAGGTTCTATTTTTTAGCATCATATTATAAGGATAGTCAGCTGAAAGTAGAAGACTTAAATAGGATCAGTAAATAGAGTCTGGGAATATATATATATAACCCAGGAGGCCTTTTTACAAAGGTACCCCTAGGCCTCAAAATGGTCTGACTCAGGTTCCAAAGGTCGGAACCTCAAACCTGAACCTGAGTCGGGTCATAGTTCCATTAGGTTTAACTTAGGTTTGAACCTGACAGAACCTGATTTGCATAATTTTGCCAAGATTTCCCTATTTTAGATGGATAAAATAATGATTCATCTAGATTTTGTACTGTAATTTACTGCTATTCTAGTTACTATATTAATGAACATCATAATATCACCATATCCCTTGTGAAATTATATGAAATTCATCTGTATATAGAATACCTAGCATAGTAAATGTTATATCTAATTAGATTTAGTGGCCTCGGGGCCCTTAGTAGTTAATTCTAGTAGAAGTTATAGTTGATGTGGTGTATAAAGTAAGAAATGTATATTTTACACTGAGTACTCCACCACCATCCTGATCAACATTTCTTTAAATATATTTTAACAGCCGCCATTAGAATTAAACTGGCTAATTAGAAGCTCATATAGGAATACTAATATTTTAATGCTATTTTTAATCCGCTTATCCTATATTTACTCTATATATTGTGTGTTTATCCCTTGAAAGCAACAAGACTATATACTTAGGGTCAAGGACTTGGGCAAAAATCAGATTGAAATGACTCTTCATGTGGGTTAAGGTAAGGTTCCAGGTCAGGTTCTAGGTCAGGTTCCTCAGGTTCTAATTTAGGTTCTGTCAGGGTCCGTCAGGGTCTGTCAGGTTCGACTCAGGTTTGAACCTGACGGAACCTGACTATAGGGGGCCTTACTGACCAATTGTCACACACATAGGTAGATAGCCCAGTCTATATTATAATAGATGTATCAACACCTTTATTTAGCTCGCGTTAGCAGCTAATTCTTGTAGTTTTTCTTATTTCCCTTAGTTCTAGCTTACTTAACCTCTAGTATGTCTCTTCCAGTCCTTCTCTATCATCCTGACTCTATTATTTACCATGTCACAGAGTCAAATCTCTTAGTTCTCTGATAATTATCCCTCATCTATCTATGAGGATACCCCTCTAGATAGCTTTCCCTTTCTTCCATCTAATGGTCCACAGCTATTCTTCCCTAATGCTTTATACAGCCAGCAGATGCCTGCTTCTACACCTAATGCTAAATTCGCCCGGCCTCTGGTACCACCCTCCATCCCTAACACCCTTGAACGCGTTGGCCCAGAGAAAAAGAAGAACTATCTTCTCTAGACAGAGATAGTGAATGATGAATTTGTTACATGGTGGTTGAAGACTAAGTTTAGAAGTTAGTTGAAATAGAATATCTTTAAGAATAAGTGCTAGGCAGAGTATTAGAAGTATTTTCACTAGGTCACCTCTATCTAAGATGGGTCTCTGAAGGTTATGTGTAAAATATGTATCTAAATCCTTAATCATCTAGTAAACAGCTATTATGGAACATCCTCTATGAATAAATACTTGCAAGGGGTTAACTATTAGAGGGTAGCACCTTATTCACAAGATATCAGAAGGCTCATATAAGAAGGGGTATATTAATATATTCATCCCTACAGATTCATTTTATCTCTACTAAGTTCTAGTTATCTTAGGCACATCTAGCCTCTTAAAAACCTACCTTTACTCCATAAGCTTAGATGGAGAAGGTAATTACATTCATTACTGCCTTATAACTGCTATTTTAACTTATTAAGCACCCTCAGTTTAGTGCCCTTATTAAGATGGCCTAGCTTGCGCCATCCTTACCTAAAATCCCTTCTATATATATGGTCCAATGTCACCTTTAAGAGATGGTTAAAGAATGATAGCAGAATCTTCTTTACAAGCTTCCTACAGGTGCTAAGCTCTCTATTGTATTAGATTGCTAGACCTTGCCCTTTCACTAGGCTTTCATGGCTGTTACAGGCTACTTTATTAATGAGGATTAGAACTATCAGGAGATCTTACTTAGCTTTAAACTACTTCATAGCATATATACAGGAGTTAATCTGAGCTTAGTTCTCCTTAACCTACATCTAGAATCTACCTTTAGGGGCCGAAGACGCCGAATCGGGCGATTCTGGTAGCTGTTTTGGGCGGCTTCGGCCCCGGGAACTATTCCCGAATGGGTAATATTCGCATGCCGCTTTACATCGCCAAAGTTACAATGGCGGCTTGGTAACAGCGTTACGTGCTCAACAGGACCCACTAAGACAGGACTATAGCATCAGCGTCCACGCTCCTCTACACAGCGTGATCCTGCCAGCAACCGGCTGTTGAACTGAATGGCAAGTAATAGATGCGCATATCGCTGGACGGGTCCTAGCCTGGATGATTATAAATAGCCTCATCTCCTCCCAACTGCTCCTGAGTTCGCACATCCTCACTTGTTTTTGCATCAACGACCACTCTCCGTATATAATGGCGTTCTTAGGTCTTCCCAAGAAGAAACCGCAGCATCATGGAACGAGTAAAGGCCCAAAGTCCTATCTCTATTATGCCCAGCGGCGGAAACTGCATGTTGCAAATGGCCCAACACTCCCCCGGTACGCTCCGAGAACGAACCTGAGCGCAGCTTCTGTGCGCGGCAAATGGCATAGGTGAGCTCTACATCGCTACATATGAGTTGCAAAGTCTTATCACCACCAGATTTTGCGCCGAGTCTCGCCAGGACCCGGATATCCTGCTAGAGAACCTGACATCAGCTGACGTCAAATCTTGGTTCGACTGGGTCCATGACAATTTCCGCGGTTCAATCAAGGCTCATGGGACACTCTCCAATTATTGGAGGACTCTCAAGAGGCTGTATTTTATGAAAAATCGGAAAAATATGCGTTCGTCAATGGTCAAAGACTGTATTAATGTAAGATTTAATCTCTGAGCGCGAGAAGAGACTCTTTAACTTGGGAATAGTACATGAATGAAGTTAGCATGCGAATGGGCCTACGCAGACTCCCTTTGCCCAAAGAGACGGAAAACTCACTTGATCTGCTCTGTTACCAGACCGCGCACCTTGTTCATTGTAAAGCAGTTTTCCCTGATGAGAAGCAGAGGCTCTATCACATGGCTAGCCTCAACTTGTCGAGCATTACTGCCTGTCGAGTGGTTTCGTTATTTGATACAAGATGTCAGGTCAACCTACATCCGGATGGCAGCCCGGTCATTCCCGGTACAATTGAGGCAGGCGACAATGGAGCGCTAAATTCTCCAACTTGTGGTCAAGGTGGTGAGGCTCACTGCGACTCTGGCTACGAGTCAAGCCGCAGTGGTCGCCTTAACATCGAGGAAGATGATATGCGCGACGAGATATCCAGCGACGGTTCTTCCGATGACACAATGAGCGATATGGGCTACATGTCAGACTGTTCTAGTGTTATTACAGATGATGGATACCTTGCTGGTGACGATGACACAGGCACCATTCTCTGGAGACATGTTGAGTTCTGCATTGTCCGGAACCCTGTACCCGGGCGCCCAAATATCCTCGTTGCCATTGTGACCCTCATCCATACAAAGGGGGAAGATCGGAAGCCCTGAATGTAAGCGGAAACCCTCGAACGTACCGGCCGTTGTCACTTACCGTAGCCTAGAAAGCGATTTGTGATTGAACATGAAGATAATCTAATTTTTGATCTTCTGTCACAGCTTCTGTCACTAGCTTTACACGACGGTATTTTTGCAGCCGACATTCAGGACATTGAGGACATCTATACCAAGCAAATCCCATCACATCGAAGGGGCATGCAGTTGAAAATCAGGAGGGAGTGGTTGGACATTCCAATCTTTCGTGAGCCGGAGCGGACCGCAGAGGGTTACCGGACATCGAGCTCCATACCCTTGAAGGCCGCTACTTCGGGCAGATATCTGAAACGGACTGGAGAACAATCTGGCCAGGAGAGAAACCTGACCCAAAAAGTCCTCCGACGTGGCGGTATCAACGCCATTAACAGTAGGATGCCTCCCCCAACCCTACCAGGCGCTGTAGCTGATCGAGTTACTGGAAACAGATCGGGCGCCGGCCTCGGTTCGAGATCAAGTTGCTGACCATGAGTCCAATGCCGTCAAATATTATCTTAATGAGATGGTGGACTTTGACACAGCTGCTGCGTTTCATCGGCGGGCCTCAAATGAAACTGTGCAAAGAGAGTTACGATCGGCCACTCTCCTAGCGGACAACACCGCGCCCCTGGGTCTGACAGATGAGCAAAAGCGCAAAATTAACCGAAACCCTGAGGTCAGGCGTCTGCGTAATCGCTGCAGAAGACTTACAGAAGAGATTCGCAAGCGGGGTTATCGAAGAGTGAGCGACGCGGCGGGAACCGAACTCGGCAAGCAGAAGCGACAAGCGGATGTAGAGCTGGCTAGGAAGCTGACTGAACTCCGACAAAAAGCAAAGAGTAAGAATCGAAAGAGACATTTTCGATACAAGGATACAGAGCTTTTTAACCAGCGCGATGAAGACGGGCCTCAACCCCAGGAAAGTGATTCTCAGCCTCATTTTCCGCATCACTATCAGATCCCAGAGCGAGCTGAGTTGGTGCAGTTGCTCTTCTACTCCCCTGTGCCAACTACGGAAGAGGAACTTTACGATCGCCGATTGAGGTATATCCGTCTCCTGGTCCAATGGCAGTATCGCCAAGAGGCGCCCCGTCGAGGGAAGCAGGCGGAAGCAACTGTAGCGCAACCCCAGCCGACCCCAGCGTCTCCATCCCTCGCCATCATTCCCGAGAGATATGACCCCTTGCAATGCCCATTTTGCTTGGCCAACCCGGGTCTACCTCTCAGTACCCGTGAAAAACGGAAGAGCAAAATCAACAAACTTTGGGATCATGTGGAAAACCTGCACCGAGCAGAGCTTGCTGCATTTGGCACTGGTACTAAACGGTGTGGATTATGTGGCATGAGGAGCATCAATTACCTCCCGTCGAGCGTCCCGGGATTCAAGAATCATACTGAAAAAGTCCACGGAATCCGGCTTCGAGCGTGACATTCATCGTCGCGTACGGACTGTCGTCCATGAGTCAATAAATCATCCTGTTATCTTTTTCCTACGTTCGATTTATGTGGTTACTCATCAGTAGGATGCTGCTTTGATGTACTTTAGATTCGTCATCAAAATTCCTTCCCATGGAGAGGTAGATGGACAATCACCAGCTTGAATTAGTCAGGGGTTTAGTCCAGAGCCAATAAGATATATCTTCGTCGTCCAACAGGGTTGTCGGGGTTTCAAGAGGTCTAACGCATTCCATGGAAACCAAACCGTTCGTGAATTCTACTTGAATATGATAAGTGAATAGTCTCGCCGCGGGCTTCAGCAAGCAGTAATTATTCCAGTAATGGTTTAGAATTTGAATAAGGGATCTGTGGAAAGACTGAAACTCCAGGCTAGTGTGTATTATCATGTGTCTGGTACAGAAAACATGGGTGGTGCTCTCATATATAGCTGGCAGACTAGTCAGTTTCAGGCAAGTTCGCTTTCCATGTCAATAGACATTACCAGATCACCCGATCTGAAACTGTGCCCTCCTGCTAACAGCTATGCTACGTAACTGTCAATTTCCTATCATTCAACGTCAGATCGGGAAGATTCGCCAGAGGTATCGTCTATGAATTTCCGGACAGGTGTAGGGAAATACGAATTCTGGGCAGCGTTAGAACCCATCCGGAACCCAAGGTGACTGAGTCAGAACGCACCAGCTGCTCTGCAGAAGGATCCCATCCCGTGGTACTTAGTACGTATGTCTTCCCATCTCCTTTTGTCTGCAGTACCAAAAAGCAACGGGCATTGCATTTATTGCAAAAATATTCGATTTTGCTGAAGATCGTCTTTCTCAGGCGCAGGGTGCGCTGAGTGCGCATCTTTCTGGATTGATTCTGGGACATTGGCTAACGTCGGTCAATCGTAGCTTCTAGTCGTAATAAAGTCGGAGTGAGCGGAAGCTATGGAGGAGACACTTGTATACATGGGCAGATTGAGCAGTTATAGCTCGCTCCAAGGATATAAATGGCTAGTAATTAGTAGTCGGTCTCAAGGCGCATTTTACGTTCAATGTAATCTGTATAATTCAAGTAGTAGCCTGCTCATTTTATCGTCGTGACTATAAGACCACCTGGAAACCCTTTTTGATATACGTTGAGCAGTAAGCTAAATATGGAATTGGGATTAACACTGGTGCAATAAAGAAACCTCAGGGATGGATTACGGGTCGAAATTGCTCAAATCCCTCTGTTTACTCATATTGGTATGGTAAATGGCCAGGATCTCAGCACTCAGTTGGACTTCTCAAATTTATCCTTAACCTTCTCTAATCAGTTCCGGTCTTCTAAAATCATCAGACTAACAGGTCACTAGAGATTGCTCAGAATTCTTACATGAACTGACTAGAGAATGACTTAAGATTACAGCTGTCCATACGAGTCTCCATAAACCGGAGCCTCTACGCTTTGGTTTACGCCTTTGACATAGAGAATACAATTGAAGCACCAGAATATAATCTTAATGTGATCGTCGTCTTCAACGAAACGCGGTTTCAGCGCAGAGAGCTTTGCCTGTACTTGTAGCATTGTCCTCTATGAACGAAACTAGTACCCTAAGGTTCTTCCTTCATCAGCAATAAAGGAAACGATGCTGATGATAGTCTCCTTACACATACGAAACTCGAAATTAGTAGGGCTACTTGAGAGATCACTGTACAGGAGTGACAAGTTGAGAAGGGTTGACACCGTACAGTTTCAAGCTCACGGGTCTGTCTCGACTTCCCTCTTTCGTGGAATTCCCAACGAGCAGGCGGGACATGGCTATTGAAAACTTTGGACTTGAGAGAATCGGGAAGCGCCAAGTGTCCAATTAGGATGGCTCAGGGGCCAACTATATATAGGCTGACTAAGTCGGGACGCTAAACCTAAACGGGATGGAATCCTGACACCCCCCCTCGGACCGA